CCACTACACACTTTTGTAACAGACATTAATTTTCCTTCTGACACCAAAGGCCCAAATACTAGTTTTCTAGTTTTAAACATTSGTAATTGTAAAATAATGAATTCACAGCTAAAGCTGTAAAGATTTGATATCCCTAAAGGGCAAGACTTGAGAACATTTTCTGAAGAAAAAAATAAATAAGAATAGGGAAATAAAGAGAAAAGAGGATACCAGTGAACACTGTTTTTTGAAAGTTATGCTATGCTAGACTACTTTTGTAGTTTATTTAATATGAGAACCAATTTTCTAGGCAACATGAGAGATGTAAGCAAACCATGAGAGGAATGRTATACCATATATTTGGGACTGAATGATCTTGAGCAATATTCAACCTCTCATTCAATAACATAAATTGTGAAGTGACATTGTTGGAACAAAATTTTTAAAGCCTGCTGTGTACTGGGACTACATCAGATGGAAAAGACAATAACCTAAAAGCAGCAGCAGAATAGGAGGCCTGCTAGGAGACAGCCACATGATACAGCTATGAGATGTGTGACTGATTCCAGGATGCCTGATGTCGAATATCCCCTGCAGAGAAAAAGAAAGCACTCTTGGCATCGTGCAAGGCTCTCCTTTCACCTCGACAACGGTATTAGGTGCAGTTTGGTCATTTATTAGCAAAGAAAATCAATTTAAACTGAAACAAAAGGCCAACAGAATGATTAGAAGATAATACACCAGTATGAATGTAACAAAAGCCTATCTTAAAAGTGGAGATTGAAGATGATTGGCTTTTTTAGGTTAGGGTTAGTTTAGCTAAATGAAGGCTGACAGTAAGATTGCCGTCTCTGTACTCTGGAAAAGTAAACATGCAGGATAGAAAAAGAAACTAAAGGTCAATACTGGCGCAAACTGGCACAAGAACATGTACACACAAGCTTGTCATAAATACATTTAGGCTGGAAATTAAAAAGTTTCTAGCTGTTGCTGAAATCAGGTTCCAGGGTAGCTTTTTAATCAAAGCAGCAGAGACAACAAGCAAACTGCTTTTAAGGTGGAGTTTGACAAATTTCTGACAAGGATTATATGAGATGTTTGCCTATGAGACAAAGGCAAAGACTGCATAGGTCCCTTCTAGTTTTTCACTCTTATTTCCTTCAAATTAGTCTCAATGTCTTTGCCATGGTGATATTTAGCAAACAAAGCCACACAAAATCAACTCGGTGGTTTTTAAGCATTACAAATATTTGAAACCATCCAGCTTTGAAAAGCATTCACTCCATTAGCTCGGGAATGAGTCTCTAGCGTGAACTGATATGCTTGCAGAAATGTTCTGGTTTCCTGCATCTTCAAAATGTACTTCTCAAGAAATCACTGACTAAATTGCTTTTAAAATGATTTTGATTAACCAATCAAACTGTGCAACACCTAATGGGGATCATATATCAAAGTAAAGTCCCAGACATCAGGTCTTTTACCATCAGAAGAAAGGTTTATTATTCTGTTAGCTTATTAGTAGATTCTTCCCATCCACCTCCTTAAATTCAAACACAGAAGGAATTTTGTTCAAACTTGAAGAAAAATAAATAAAAAGAGAAAAGCCACATTTGGATAAAGACCAGGCATAGTCCAAAAGCTTAATGTTTCAGAAAGTAAGCAGCACATGGAAACAAGGTATTAATGGAAACTATTTTGGAACTCTTAAGAACAGGGGATGATATCTAATAACAGCTATAATACTGAATGTGCACTGCCATTAAACTTAATCTTCAATATTTTTGTTGCAACCTGACCCACTACAACATCTCTAAAGAAAATTACATTGCATACAACTACTTCAAGAAGTCAAACTTAGCAAGTCTTCTGGGCCATAAAACAGCAGATTACTCCATCAGGCTGGCTCAAGCAACTAGGAATAAAACTAGATTTACCAACCACATTATTTTTATTAGGAAATGTTTCAAAGCAGACATAATACCAGAAGATTTTAGCCTGATTCCATCCTAAAATACACAACAGAGAGCATCAAAAACAAGAACTGCAGTATAAGGCACAATTTGTAAATGTGAGGGGAAAAAAATTACAAGATGTGTAGCAATATGTAATGCTCTCAAAGCAAATTAACTGAACATAGAAATAGAAAATAATAAAAACTTCCACACTATTCATGTATTAACAGTTTAAACCTTTTTATAAGACCTGACGTGTTAATAGGAATTGCTATGTTGAATCCATGCATATTAAGACTTAGTCTGCACTCCATTTGCTTTCTTTGAATGCGCAGGGTGACAAACACATACTAAATCACAGCTAGAGAGTAAAATCGCCACAACAGACAAAAGGAATAAACAGCATCTTTAACAACAGCGTTCTTGGACAGCCCTGGTATGGTAGCAGTACTAAGCTTTATTTTGGATCATGGTCGCAGTGCGGCTAAAGTGCTGTTTCTTCTGTAACAGTTCTGAACATGAGGAACTGCTCTATAAAGCTAACAAAGAAAGCAAAAATTTGCTTAGCAATCTTAGCACTTCTCTGTAATTCCTTGTACCACTAGACTTTCTAACAAGTATTCATGCATATATTATACAGAGGTCTTTGCAGATCTGAAATGAAGGAGAAGTAAGGGATTTGATACCTGAAAAGGCAAGTTTTAAATTTTAAAGACTGCCAAGCTAGGTTAGATGCATTATGTGTGTTTCATCATCTAACCAAGCAGTCATGTCTTTCAGTTTTAACCTTTTTTCCTAGGCAATATGATCACCTCAGGCAGTTTAATTTAAAGACTTCAGCTAAAGCTAAAATATATTTATATTAGCCAGTCATTTGTTGCTTTCTATTCTTTTAGTACTTAAATATTATCTGTACTTAACAAAGCTGGTTCTATTACCCTAGCAGCATCAGACTAAGAATAGTAATCAGACTGTGATGGTTCACTAATTATGTGCCATTTTTAAGTACCTTAAATTTTGTTAGCTGGCACGACCACAGATATTGTATGCATAATCTAACTGCGTTCTGAGTCATTTCCTTTCTCTTGTCTGATTTTATTCCACACAGGAAACAACAGAGTCACTTAGATGTAACTGCAGTGAAAGATCAAAAAGGAAATCTGATTGAGAACACTGTATAAATGTCTGCACTGGAGAACAAGCAAAATTCCACAGGTTTATAACCCATTGCACTAAATTTTCTTTCGAAAACACATACCATGGCTTCTCCAAAAGGATATCCATTACAACACTAAGTACTACTTTTATTTTTTTGTAGCTGCATGTATTTTAAAGAAACAGGTCTTGTCATTAGACTATTTGGTAAGTAATAACTTCACCATACATGGAACTCAAATTTATTTTGCCATACATACAGCACTCAGTGACCTAAAGCAATTCTTACTGAAGAACAGTTTAGCACCCTATCTAAATAAATCTACATAAAAGATAAGCATTGATTTTACTGGGTATAACAGTATAGCTGCATAAATCAAAGAGCATCTAATCCACCTTGGGACTTCAGAATACAAAACAGACTTATTAAACTGAACTGCTACCTAGGTAGTAATTGGCTTGAACAGAGTTACAGTTAAAAATGGTCATGAAGGTTTCAGTGATGGCTATAATTTGTAAATTGTTCCCTGGATGGATCTTTACCAAATTAATTCACAGTCATGCATTTCCCTCATGGCCCGGTTCGACACAGCACACGYGAGGGGACAGACAGTGGAGAGTAGATATTTTCTCATGTTTGGGCAGCTGTGGAGTTGTATACTGATTGCTTCCCAGAATTGATCCTTAACCACCAGGAAGTGGGTTTTAAGAAAACACAAAGACATTTCTTTTAAGCTAGTCTACAAATGGTAAAACAGACTACCCAGATTTGCTTAAGAAACTACTTAACTGAAGTCTCAGAAAAAATAGTTTTATCCATTAGGAAGTAATCACCATCCAGTGATGTGATTAGTTAATACAGAAAAAAACAAAACACTATACTAAGCTTACCTACGCAGAGCAGGGCTTTAATGACAGCTTTGTCACTGATTCTACATAGCAGGAATTTTACTACAACTTACAAATAAGAACAAAATCCAAAATATTTGCCTTCACTTCAAGACATGTATTTCCAATGTTTAATTCACCTATTTAGAAGTAACATAGGAAGAAACTATACCATATCTTTTATAAACTCCCACTTTAAAGGGTAGATCACAAATTCAAATGTACTAATGTCCCTGTACACGGAAAAACTACAATGCCATCAAAAGATTAAAAAAAAAATCCACTGTGTCTCTCAGAGTAACAAACTGTTTCCTATTATAAAAGTTACTCTTTTTTCACGTATTGTAAAATATATTCTCAATAACCACAGTCCGTCCAAAGGAAGGTTTCTTTGCTGAGCTGAATCTGTTCATTTGATTAAAGATCGTTTCTTGAGACAATGCATTTCCTCACCTATTTTTTGGTAAAGGGTTCTTACCTATTTGGCAAAGCGTTCTTACATATTTTTTGTAAACTGGCAAAGTTTACAGTCAAGTCAAGTCACTGTTTTTAACTGAGTGCCTTCAAATTGCTGAATTTCTATTTACTTGTTTCTGAGTAATCAAGACAATTAAACACTGGTAGCTGTAGTGAAAACAAAAGCCATACCTACATACACATACATGTTAGAGCTGTGGCCATGGCCTGATACATAACCCTTTTAGATTGAGATTACTGACTCTGAAGCATACTCAGACTCATGCATTGCAAATTCAAATTGCATGCACCACCTTGAAAATACATACCTGGGGTACTCTTGATTTAACACAACTATCTTAGCCAAAGAATGCRTTTATACTTCTCTGAAATCCAAAATTCATTTTCACTATGAGGACATGTAATTTCTATTCTTTAATCTGCTATTTTATGCTGTTAGTAATGGAGTAATGTTGACATGAATTTATTTTGAGCAAGATAAAACATACAATACAGTGCATTTATTAGATAACTCTGCAATCACGAGTCCCATCTATATAAACAACTTACCTCCTTACTTATCACACGTTCTTCTCTAGGACTATGGAAAAGATATTCATACAGTTTATAGGGTTGAAATAGGCTGCAAAAGAAGGGAAATCATGTTTCAGAACCAGCTCATTATGCAATATTTCTCAAAGAGATTTTTTTTTCTGGTGCTTGTTTTAAAATTACGCAGAACACAATGGGAAAAGGACACTGGTAGACAGAGGAAAACAGTTGCTTTTCTTTAAAAAAATGGACAGAATGAAAAAAGGAACCCCCTTCTCGAAGTCTGCTTTCTTCAGCGATTGCAGAGCACAGCAGATTGGCAGAAATTCAGATTGACAGATCACATAAATTGAGAATAACACACAACTCTTGTATATTACAATAAAAATAACAAACTTTCTCAACTGCCTAAAATAATTATCTTCAAATACAAATTTCTCTTTCACATGTTTTAAATAATTATCTTTTAAATTATTATTAAAAAACAAATCTATCAACTTGCCTAATAAATTTGACTACCACAAATAACAAGAATCCCTTCCCCAAACCCAATCACAAAGGCAATGAATTTAAGTAACAATATTTGCYACTTCTTTTGCTGTATATTTTTGTAACAATACAACCAAAGAATTTCTCCCACATTTCAGTGGAGAGATAGGAACTATGTTTACATAGATCACAGAACTTATCTGGAAATGACTCAGACCAATTTAAGAAAATACATAAGTCCTTGCACATACTTGCCTGTTTCCTCGTAACACTGTAAGAGGAATTATTTGAAAGGACAAAAAATATTTTATTACCTCAGACATACAATGGYATATATCTTTCAAACTATTTTGATAGAAGTTAATATTTTGAACTATTTTCTTTTATTCCTGTGCTTTGGAAAGGAGTTCAGATTGACTGCACGAGAAAATCTTCTTCCCCTTAGAGCCTCAAAACATATTATTTATGGACTATGTTAGATGCTTTATGGACTATGTTAGATGCACAAATACTTTTTAACATTCTCACAAATAAAAATCATTACTTATGGCAGTTCTGAATAAATCTATTAACAGAACTCTGATTGACCTGCCACCCTTCTATAATATACTTAATATAAAGGAAGGAATTCCTCCAGTTAATCAAATCACATAAATTACACAATCTTAGTATTTAGCTYGAAACAAAAGCATAGTTTTCTGTCTTCTATAAGGTTTATATGATAYGCCTTTTGGTCTTCTTGTTTGTCTGCATCTGTTACGAACAATTAACAGATGCTGTGCCAATATATTTAGCAATTGCACAAAAGGAATTGTACTTATGCAAGTAAGATTTTTAAGAATAGGGCATCTTATGATGTCATATGCGAATGTGAAGGTTATTAACACTGACATATCTCCTTAGCTCCACTGCTTCCTGAGAGAAAATGTCAAGAAATATGTTGATGTGTGTTTGCCCAAGGAGACAAGATAAAAAGATGATAACTGTCACCTTTCACCAAATCTGAAGGCATCATTACAGTTGCTGCACAGTTTGTCCCAACGTTAAGCGTTTGTCCCCATTTCCATTATAAATCCCATGGGTTTATCACTCACCTGCAAAAATGTGATCTGAAGCATGTCATAGTAGCTTGAACAGGGGAAAAAAGCTATAGGTCTATCATTTAAAATTTTTAAAAGTGCAGATTTATAACAAATATTGAAGCAATGCATTAATTTGTACTGTAATAAAATTCACTTGCCTGTTTCTGAGTTCATAATGTTCAAAACAGACAAATAAAAAGTGTGCTGATTCTTTTTTTTTTATAAAAAAATCAAAGGACTGAAATAGAAATTGTATAAACTCCATATATATGATAAACTCCAGTGTATGTTTAAATATTCATGAACTTGTAACGGCATGGACTTATTAGAAGTCGAGCAGAATCTGAACACAAAATTACACATAGCCAGAACAATATCGCTGATAAAGTCCTGTAGTCTGATGGCATTCCCATTGAGTTAATACTTCAGTGACAGTAGGGCAGAGGACCTAATCTCTCTGATCAAGTCCTTGCCACTGTGAAGGGCTTAAATTCATACATGAGATCTTTAACAATACATACTTTATATATGAACCATAGAGATCCTGTTTGGAAAGACCACTTGTTTCATATACATATATAATAGTTATAGACATGGAAAGGAAAAGTTAAAATTGAGTGAGACATGTTAATGCCAAGTTTCTTTTAAGTTTAGGGCTGGTATCTGGCAGCACATTGGTTTGCCTTGTACAGGACCCTGAGATTTAAAGAGATGTTCTCATTTCATGAGCGGGGGGAGGGGGAAGAGAGATAACAGGGCAAAACAGAGAGACACCCAGAGAAGTGACCACCTAGTTCGGGTTAAACACCCAGTTCAAAACCACAAGTATTCTAAACCAGGAGGCAATTGGCCATTAATATTTGTCTTCCTTCAAGAGGAAACACTTTTCTGCATCCAACACTCTCAAATAGTTTTTGAAGTGTCAGACTACTCCTAGCAAAAGAATAGTCAGAAAATGCCTAACAATTCTACATATGGATCAATAATGACATCATCATCTAACTCATTTTTATGCGTCTGTGCCACAAGCACTCTCCCTCTAGCACTACTATTCAGATCAGGAAAGCGGCTGAAGAGTATACATCTAGCACAGCACATAAGCATACATTAAGATAGTATCTCTTCCATTTCCCATCTCTTCTTGCCCCTGGCATACCCAAGTGGAAACAGTGTACAGCCACTGTTATGATTATGACATGTCAATGGAGAAAAGTCTGTATATTCCACTGGATTGTCGAGACTGTATACAGAGATACATGATGAGCTACTATCCAACTCTCACTTTTAACAAGTGATTTAATTAATGCTATTTGCATCTCTTCTTGCATCTCTGAGATCTGTCAAGAGACTTCTTCATATAAGTGCTGTATTTCTGCTGTCTTTGAAAYGCAATCACTTTGTTTTGGTACACCATTAACATATCCAACTAAATCATTTTAACTCATTATATCTGCAGACTTCCTACAGTATCAAATAACTAGAATAAGAAATAATTGACCCTGATGTAATACCTGATATTCAAGTAATCAATGACTGCTTTGGCTTGCTCAATACTGAAGAAAAACAAGTCACCACTTTCTTCGGAATGAGCTCCTCCTATTCCAGCCATTGTTCTTCCAAGTTCTTTTATGTTATCGCCTAATGTCATATGTTTGTCTGCAAAGCAGTCCAGAAGAAGAAAAATTAAGCGTTAAGTTTGACAGATTTTGCTTAACACAGAGAAGTTGGGACTTTAAGTTTAGTAAGTTACAGTGTGAATCAGGCAAAAACTTAAAAATAGCAGCCAAACACTATTGCCTTCTGTTATTATTGTTATTAATAAAAGGCATGTTCATGTTTCATCACAAAATCACTGATGAAGTCTCACAATCTAAGGATTGCAGTGATGGATGTACATGATGCTACTGATTGATTCTTTACTTATTCAGAGATAAGGGCAGAAAAGCAGGTAAATTTGAAGTGTATAGCATGACTACCTCTAAAATAAATGTTACTGTTTATGAATTGTAGAAGACTGTCCTTCTGACCTAGTTCCTTGCAGCATCAACCAGTAACAGATATTAAAAAGGATAACCAGTAATTTTTTTCTTAAGTGCTTATGGTCATAATTAAACTGAATTATGCTTAATATTCTGCATGCATCATCAAACAGTGGGAGATTTTTGCAAGCCTGAAGAAGCTAATTACTTTATATTTCCACTCTGGAAATCAAAGCCAAATGCTACAGCAGCTTGGAACTAAAATTTAAATTGTTTTCATAAACTGGCTTGACAAAAAGGAGAAATAGAGTGTTATTTGTTGAACCTTCTGTTGAAAAATAGAAGCTTTATCTTTCTGATTTGTATTCAGTGTGTACTATTGCTATGGCTATAGTGAAATTAAAAAAAAAAGTTAAGAATGCTATTTCCTTGTTCTTTTCAAATCTTAAAAATATAGAATAGAAAATGGGGAAATATCTAGCAGCAGTGAAATAGATTTATTTGCCTTATTGCTTTAATTCTCTAACTGAACTGCTCCTTGGATCTTTGTACAGCAAACAAATTAAAAAAACATATAGGATCCTGATCTTTATCGTTTTGTCTTTTAGTAGTACAGCAATCAAACCCTCATAATTTCACCTTTCTTCTTTTCAGTAACAGAGGCAATACAGTATAAATAACCATAATGGAAGAAGAAAGAAAGAAATACAGAGAATGTGGAGGAAATAGAAACCACAGGAAATGAGAAAGAGTAATAGAACCAGAAATATCACATCTAGTGGGGAAGTAAAGCCAGAGTACAAGAGTGAGAGTACAGAGTGAGTAGCCACAAGACCCAGTGCCAGTTCCTTTCTCCAACTAGTCCATATTTTCTTTTTCCTCTGACCACTAGATTTTCAGTCCCAACTGCACCTGTCAGGATATCTGTCATAGCACTTCTGTGTGGTAGGGCAGGAGCACATTATCTTCAATGTATAGAAGTAAAGCAAATCACAGAAATAATTCATCCTGGCTCCTTAGCTGTTATCTCCTTAGTTGGATCCTGTTGCATTATCAGTTATCCTGTTCCATTTTCCTCCCTAGAAGTCCCTGTCCARGCAGCAATGATTCTTCAGCTTCCACCTGTTTCTCTTTACCTATCAACCACAGCCTCTAATTTTCTAAATCTGTTTTCCTCTCTCCTTCACCAGCCTCAAATGAGCTTCCACCTCTCTCCCTGTCTAAATTATTTTTTCCCATTCCCTGCTGTTATGTTTAAATCAGCTAACTTTTCCAGGCTGCTTAGGTCCAGTGCAGAGAAGGGGAAGGACGYTGTCATTTAAATTACTGAAGATACTAGCTTTTTGCTGTTACTTTCAATGTTCRGTCCTGCAGTTTGCGTGAGCTGAGAACGCAATTACAAGGAAATTAATCTCAGCCTTGGGCTACAGCATACCTTATAAGATGAATTATTTGGGAAATGTAGCTGTGAACAAATCTAAGGAGTCTCCTGTATGCATTTACAAGCTGCATTTTCTTTCCACAAAAGCCATGTATCCTAGCCAAATCTAAATGGATTTTCACAGGACAGCAAAAAGTAAATTCACAGTCCTTGCTTTACTTCAAAGCACAGGGATATTAGAACTCCTTGCCAGGATCATTTTACATGCACAAAATAATACTTTTTTTTTTTTTTTCTTTCCACATTGCTTCTGGCTGGAAGCCCATTTAGCTGTTTTAGCTTAAACTTACATGTTAAAATTAAGCARAGGCAGATCCATGGAAATTCTGCTTACAGAGTTGGAAATTCTGCTTAAAGCCATGGAAAATTCTGCTTTAAGAGTTAAAGTTTGGCAAAGCTTTATGCCACTAAAATCATGTTCCTGAAAAATGTCAGTCAGCTTTAATAATCAGCTGTACTACCATCCTGTCTGGTACACAAGCAYTACACATAGTCTAATAAAACTGATGTCTGACATGTTTCTATTCTCTCCATTGTTGGACTAACACAGCTAGCATATACTAAGATACTTTCTCATTGGGGACAGGAAGGACAACTGAATTCCAATGATCATAAAGCACGTAGATGGTCTGTCAAAATTCCAAGTCAAAAAGCCCTTGAATTAAACCACAATGAAAGAATATAACCTCTATTATGAGTTTGATTTTAAATATTCATCTTCCCCTTTGAGTGGAACCACTGTGTCCTCTCACTTGTCCTCTGGGATGGTCTTTTCTCAACATACCTTCAAAGTTAATGTTAAGCAAGCATTATGATCTCTGAAAAGGGCTTTTGAGAGGATGCTGCTACAATTTTTATGGCTATTTTGTTCCCACTAGACGAAAGATATATACTTCGCAGCAAATATTTTCAGAGCCACAGGAGCTACAGCCCTTTTACTGTTGTTTTTCATCCTCGGCAGTAATGCCAGTTTACTTCCTTCACCAGTCTTTAACTAACCTATATATTTTGTGCCAGAAGTACAGTATTTGGCATAGAGAAAGCTGCCCAAGATTTCACCTCCAAGGATAAAATAAATGTAATTCACCCTCTGTAATGCTACAGGATGTACTGAATATCTTGAACAGCAGAGAAATGTGCCCGAGGCTAGAGTGAGTCAGTCAGCGAGAGAGCTGGAATTGGAATTTAAGGGGTCCCTGCTCTCACTCTACTGTAATTATTATTTACTTTATCATAGTCACAAATAAGGTCTATGTAGGGTCTGGTCCTCTCACACCATGTACAGTACAAAAAACAAGGAAAATTCTGCTAAACAGGCTATGTTTCCTTCTAACCAAGGCTTTATGTCAATAAGATTTATTATCAGGTAGAAGTTATAGTGTGCCAACATTCAAGGGAAAACAATAAACCATTTTACAATTACTTATAATTAAAAATCATTCCAGTAAAATGATTGGAAGACACTCTTGCTTTCCACATCAGATATTTTTATTCTATAATTTTTAATTATACTTACCACTGAGATTCTCTAAAAGGAGATTTAACAGACCCATGAATCCTGCGAGCTGTTCAAGACTGAAGTTCATTTCTTTAGCCCACCAAAATCCTGAGGTATAATAATCTAGCAAAATAGCTTCCTTCAAAGATGTTTTTAATTGTTTAAAATTCAGGAATTCTTCCAGCTTTCTAACAAGAGCRAGCACATAATAAAATATTGAAATTAAAAACGCAGTTATACATTCCAAAGATGAACTTAACCTCCTTGCAGTTGTATATATAATCCCAGATTTACCTACATTTTCTGAATACAAGAGTTCATGATCAAAGGACAATTTGCCAACTGTAAGAAACAAATAGGCCCCAACAATTTTTCAAAAGGTGCTATTTAAATTCTAAAATATGATTAATTAACAAAATTAACCAAATTGAGGTAAAAAACCAAAGAAAACTGTAATCTCTGAAGAATTTATATTTACAAATCATGCAAATAATATAGTATAAAATTACTGAAATACCTAAATTAAGATATTTAAATTCCACTTTCATAATTTAGACTTTTAGAAAACAGTTTCATCTTTTTTTTAACTGGCACACTTTGTAAGCTTTTCAGTAAATTTAAAAGGTAGTGAGAAAAATATATTCCCTTTAGGGGGATCATGCTGTTGCCAGCACTCTTACCTGTACTCTATCCAAACATAGAACTAATATGCACTTTTATTATCACATGATCTTTTCTGCATACGGAAATTATAGAGGAACAGGTCTAGCATTTCAGTTTGCTGTTCTTACAATGCAACTTCAGCTGGGTCTCATATAGTTCAAATTTGCACTAAAGCAGACCCTGGCTTCTTAACTGTTCCTGATAATACAGGTGCCAGTTGTGGTTACAATTTCTCCTCCCCTATGAATGAAATWWTTTTTTTTTTCTCCAACTGCTTATTTCTTCCTATTAAAAAGTGTTAATCTCAAAACCACTTATTGGCAACTGTCAGCTTTTCAGGATTTTCACCAATAGAAATTTATTGTTAAATAAGATGAAAGTTTTTTCTTTTTTAATTAAAGGCTCAATAGCTAACAAAATAAAAAGCTTAATCCAATCAGTTTTGTTTAAAACATGTATTCCTTTGTTCTGACAAATTTGCACAGCTGTGTAATGCAAGACACTTAACTCTGCACTAAAATAGCGGTGGAATGTGGCCAACTGAACTTGCCGTGGTTTGAAATAGTCCATATCCTCTCTTTCTGAAGCTTCTGCCAACTCCATGTTTCCATAATCAGAACTTCTAAGGGATTTAGATTTCTCTGACGCTGCTAACAATACCTTGTACACATCTTTTCAATATTCTGTAAGGCATACTATGATAACTGTATCTATAAATGACTGGGAAATGATGGGTGCTTTAGATTTCTTCATTACTTTGATTGCTATTTTCTCCGTCATGAAAGGTGCTCAAGTAGTATGGAGATCAAGAGCAGCACAAAGTTCCAAGACATATGGGAACACAGGACATGAAAATTCTCTTACTCTATCAGATTTCTTATTCTGGTTTTCTATCCCTTTCTGCAGCCTTCAAACACTTCTTGTGTATAAAAATGATGCGCTGTGGCRAACTAACAAAATTTCATTACTCTAAAATGCTTATAGTGCATAAAATGCCCTACAAACATCTTCCTTTCAGTTAGATGCAGTATATACTTTAAGATACAGTTGCACAGTYTTTGTGTGTATACTCACACACACATGTAAGTATATATGTGATCAACTGAGAATAAGAAAAGTAAATGATCTTTCAGTGTTCTTTTTCAAATAAATGAGAAAATTTAACATGAAATTTTGCCACTAAACATATTTTAGACTCCGGTGAGTTCTATGCTTCTGTCTGCATTAAAGTGCATAAAGAGACCTATCATGCAAGGGAAAAAAGTGAAAAAATTCCTTCACCTTGTTACTATCTAACGTGGAGAAACTCCCTTTCTAAAAGGGAGTCTAAAAAAAAAAAAAGAAAAGAAAAAAACAACCACTAGGTGAAGAACTTTTTCTTAAAACAAATATAAATAAGAATAAAATATTTTCATGAATAATATTTTAATTTCCCTTATTTTTTCACTTTTCCAGAAAGACACAGTGTTTGTTTCGGGTATTTTTCCCAAATTAAGAGCACCAGAATTTGCTAGTGGAGACAACTACTGCCAAACTATATCAAGCACTTCTTGATATACCACTTCTTGAATATACCATTATTAAATTTTAAGTCTAGCGTTTTCTAGGGTTTAAATGACTTAGGAAGTATTCCTGACCTCTTATATTTAGCTATTACTGCTATGACTTACAATAAGACAGTGCTGCTAAAGGAAAGGCAATATAGACTTACCTCACTAATCTCTGGCTGCCTCTTTTTTTTTTTTTTTTGCCTCAGTGCACCATAATGGCTACCTACTCACATGTTCTTAAAGGTCTCTGAAATTTTAAAGCCTTTTTGATTTTTTATTCTGACATATTACAGTAAAGATTTACACAAACACTAAACATATTAACAAGATCCCAAGATAAAGGTTCTTTATTTTTATTTTTCTTCAAGAAATCCTATTTCTCACAGTATTTTTGAAATGAGTGATACAACTGACAATCAATTTAAGTACTGACATCAGAACCAAAATCTAAAAAAGCTCTACAATTTTTATTTCGCTGTTACTTCTAATTAGTTCTAATCAATTCTAGTTTTAATGCTGTYATCACTGCCACTTACTTTTGAACTCCTTCAATATTTTCTTCTGAAAGAGCACTAATTTGGGAGAGAGAAAGAAACGTCCATTGTGTAGTCTTTCCAACTGCAGCTTGTTCTTCTTCCTGCACACATACAAACACACACATCACAGTTATGAACATAACTGAAAATTGTTTACTTTATTATACAGCAACTTGTCAAAATAACATCTTGATTTCTAGGATGTTCAGAAGAAATTAATTCAACGAATATATGATTAAACGTCAGCAACATCATGCTATAACACATTCTTGCCTAGAGAAGATGGAGATGCATGGAAAATAGCATTATTCTTAGATTCATGTGGGAATATAGTGACATATGTGCAGCACAAGATTAAATACATTTGCAAATAAAAATATACAGGTGCAGAAAATACATGAATCCAGATTTGATTGACATGATGACAAATTGCACAATAACTGAATTTTAAAACCAGTTTCTCTTAAGATATTTTGAATACACATACACAATACCACACAACTTGCACTCCACCTTAGACTCCTTAATCACATTATCTTATTTTAAAAGATTTATGTTTTCCCATAGTCCTTTCCCTACATAAAGTCCCGGTGTTTGCCTCTATACAACATAATACTGACAAAATCTTGACATGATTTTTTCGGTGAAGGTGTGTGTGAAATACAGAGGCAGTTTCTTATAAAAAGTATGTATGCAATGCAATAGAAGTTACATGAACAAGTAATGCAATCATCTTACTAAATAAAAAGTGATAAAGTATTGTTTTTTTGTATGCAACATAGACCAAATGCATATAGTGAAACATTCAATCATGGATRTCAACAAGAAGTCTATGAAAGAAGATAACAGATAAAATAATAGATAAATAATTRCTTTACAGAGCTAAATAGATTTTTAATAGAATTTTATGGAAAATGTAGGCAATAAAGATGTCAAAGCACATTATAAATCATCATCTATAAAGATTCTCAACATTACACATAACAGTTATCAAAATCTCTATGCTGTTAAAACGGCATGCTGCTGATAATGGCTATAAGCAGCTRGTTGGGATGAAGTGATTATGTTGGAGGTGCAATCTCGAAGAATGTCACTCAAAGTATAGCATGATTTGAGCAACTCTTGTGTCCTCCTGTACAAGTTTCAATATAATAATATAATAAAAGAAAAAAGTCAAAGTTTTTAAAAAAGGAAATGATTTCACCAAATCCTTGTATTCAAGCTGGGACTTTACAGTCCAGATGGGTGGACTACTAGAAGAATGAAAACCTGCGTCATCAGGCCCAAAGGATAGATCCCCTGATAATCCCCTGAAGTTTGTGATCGGCTTGGAGACAGGTTACTAGGGAAGTTCCATGTGGGTTTATTGGGCGATCAAGCCTATTTATCTCCTTTATCTTGGACTGGAAGGAGCTAGAATGGGCTCTTGTCAAGTCTGAGGATGATACAAAGGGAAAGGTGCAGTCAATATCCCAGAGGACACAACACCACACAGAGACACCCAGACACACTGAAGGAATGGGACAACAGGAGCCTAAGGAAATTCAGTAATTTCTACAAAGGGCCTGAGGGTCCTGGGGGAAAGTAGGCTAAACATGAGCTAGCCACAACACAGAAACCTGTCCTCATGGCAGGAGCATTTTTGCATCTGTAGAAAAGATAAATGACTGCCTGGACAGAGAGGCATAACGAGATGAAACATGCAGAGTAAGGTTTTTAGCTCAGCCACAGAGAGAAGATTTCCTTACATGAGCTAAGTTTCGAGAACGATGGTTGCTATTCTGCACTGACAATCAGCTAACTCTAGCCGAGTTAGGAGAGAGCAGGAGCRCAAGGAAAGCTACACTGCTCCCCCTGCTGCTGCCCATCCACGAGACACACTGCGCTCTCAGGGCTGCTGAACTGCACCGGAGAAGGACGAAACTGCTCTGACAGGAGCAAAAGAACATGGGAGTTAGTGGACAGGCTCACTTTTTCTTTACTAATCAATGGAGTCCTTTAATATGGACTTTAATATGAAAAATTAAAGATCCCAAAGTCTAAGACACAACGTCTCATCAGGGCAGAAGGGATGAAGCAAATGAAGGCTTCCTTCAGAGTAAGCAGCATGACAATTAGTTTGCCTTTAACAGCAATAATGCATGCAGCATGCAAAGAAATACTCCTAAAASAGTAATGTTGATGTAATTGAAGCTGCATGACCCAGTTAGATAAACAAATAGCTCAGTGTACTAAAATTATGCAATTATTGAAAAAGTTTTGATTAATTAGTAAAAATACTTACACTTTCCTGAAGCAAGCACCAGTGTTATAAATTCACTAAATAAAAGATTTTTTGGAAGCAGTGAAAGCCAAACTTAAAAAAATAACCGTTACCAATGCTTCAGAACTTGAACTAATAGCAATCATTTCTCTCAGAATGTCCAACTTACATAATGGTATAAAACGACATAAACTATATATAAGTCTATAAGTAATGTATTACTCATCAGCCAGTCAACATCTTACTGACCCTAGTTTGTAAGGCAATGCATTAACATTATACAGGCACCATTCCAAACAGACTTCATTGGCATAGCATGAGGAATTTCACAATGTATCAGAAAGAAAAACATAAGAAAGTTCCAAAATGCCTTCGTTCTTATTGAGTTTCTTCCATTTTTTTTCCCTTTTCTCTCTCTCTTCTCTCTCTCTCTCTTCTCTGTAAGCCCTGCAGAGGCAAAAGCCCTGGCAAGAGCTGTGTCTCTCCCCTAAGCCAAGCACCTGCAAATAACACTCCTCCACAGAGCACATCCCAGCCACAGTCCTGCAAAGCAGGAAAACATGAAAAATCTTCTTCTCTCCCACTTACTGGGTCTCTTGCTCCAARGAAGAAGTTCTTAGCCAAAAAGTTGAGTGTTCTAGAAAGCAATTTTTGACCTGAACTCCCAGGAATTTGTACAAATTCCTCATCCTTCTTTTAAAGGTAGCAAGCAAAGCTCATCATCAAAAGCTTCTGAAAATACGTATTTGCTCTTGCCTCCAGTATGCACCTGGCTAACTGTTGTCTGAAACTTAATAACCTACATGGCATCAACTCAACACACCAGCACTAAGACTCATCTTACTGCTAGCTGTAACAAGCACTTCTTGAAAAATTTGCTGAAGTCTTAGTATAATACAATATTATTACACCAATATATTAAGTCATATAGGATTACATGAACTTATTTAAAATAACTCCAGGTGCTTTTCACACAGTCAACTACAATTTCTTTCAACATATTTAAAGCTCCCTCAGCACTATAAACATTCTTGAATATAAACTAAAGCTTTCAGTTTAGACTTGGAAGACCCTCAAGCCATTGTAACTACAACTGCAGATTAGGCTSTGTAATTTAAAAATTGTATCTCAAAATCCAAGATAAGTGTCTCAAGGTGAAGCTTCCTTTGGAGCACGCTTCCACCACGTAGTATCTATACCTATAGTCACAGCACTGACACAATACCCCAAGTATATTGCTAGTGTTCACAATAGGCTGGATTTGTGGCATTACTGCCCACTTAAGTGCAGATATCAAATAATAAGAAATATGGTTTTAAATGACTCCCAATTATGAGAGAAGTACAATAACTAAAACATTCATTTTTAAAACTATATTCTTTAAAGTTTATGTCCACAAGCAACTTGAAGGATTCYGCATTGTTGGAAAGCTTCTGTTCAGGCAGGAAAAGGGAACAAAATGCTTGCTTCAGTTAAATACTTTCTGGTCTTTTGATTGCTGTCTTTAACCAGTATCAAAAATACAGAGTGCCTGTATTTCTGTTAACAAAACTATTTTATACACGTGCTCAATTGACATCAAAGAACTTTCATCTTACTTTTAACAGCAGTGCTTGACTAAGGCAATCCAAGATGACTTATGCTGGTAACACTACTGTGTTGAACAGAAGTCTCTACTTTCTCCCAAAATACATGGTCAGCAATAGACTTAACCTGTTTAAATGCAGACTACTGCTAGAGAATTATCTGATGTCTCACATTTTTTTTTTCATTTAAATAATTTGAAGCTGTTCTGATTCCATAACATGATTCTAACTGTTCAACATACCAATCCAAACATTTTGGGCAACAACAACTTCAAATCAATATTCTAAAAGAGAAAAATTAATCTTCCCTTAATCTCTCAGCCAGTGTSTATAAATCACTATGAAATAAGTGATTTCACTATTCTTTAATAGAAGAGTAATATCATTAAAAAGTAAAAATCTACAAGTTTTAAGGAGGTCTTGGTGGAAAAAGACAGTCCTCAAAAAAATACAACCACCAATACRAATGTTTTCACAGGCGCAAACTACATACTAAGATGAAAATTTTTAATACATTTTCTGCTGAAAATAATATACTTCTGCATGTGACAAGTCTGAACACTTATACAAGTATTCAATTTAATAAGAAAGAATTACCATAAGTTCTAGCAGGCAACAGAACAACAAAATTATAAAAGAATAAACCGATGGTGAAAAGAGGAAGAGGCGAGAGGAAGAGGCGAGAGGAAGAGGCGAGAGGAAGAGGCGAGAGGAAGAGGCGAGAGGAAGAGGCGAGAGGAAGAGGCGAGAG